AAACTGTTATAATTAGAAGTGATAAATAAAGAGGATGTTCAAATAAATTGTTAAAATCAACAATATCAAGGTTCATTATACCGTAAATAAATAAACCATAAGTACTTAAAAATGATAATAATAAGTGCGTGAGATCTTTAGAAATCAGAAAATGGATAATGGCGCTCATATATAATAAATAAGATGCCAATTTGAATTTATCAAAAGATTTATTGAAAGAAATAGTTATGTAAAATGTGAAAATGGCAATAGTTGCAGACAACATAGATTGGAAAATATCGAAAGTAAACTAAAAATATATAAATGGAAATCGAAAAAATGATACATCCGGTGATTAAAGCGATGGGAATCAAAATAATGCCGAAGGAAATCGCGGTAATCGTGATAATAATGGCGAAGGAAATCCCGATAATTACGATACCAATGGCGATGGAAATCACAATAATAATGAAGGGAATCAAAATAACAAAAACGATTAGTCCTATTACAATTCCTTCTTGTTTCTCTTCTTTTTTTCTCTCTTCTTTTTTCCCTCTTCTTTTGTTTCCTCTTTTTTTGTTTCCTCTTCTTTTGTTTCCTCTTTTGTTTCCTCTTCTTTTTTGGTTTTCATTTCATCTCTTTCATTTTTATATATATTTTTTAATTTATCAATTAGTCCTACTTTTTTTTTCTCTTTTGTTTCTTCCTCTTCTTTTTTTTTCTCTTCTTTTGTTTCCTTCTCTTCTTTTTTCTTTTTGTAATCAGGATCTAAACCACCTGGTCCTTTGTAAAATCCGGTAATTTCATAAAAAATCAAATAGTTTTTCAAGACTGGTTTTATAAATTCTGGAATTTTAATTTCTACAAAAGTTACTTCTAAGGTATTATCAAGTTCATTAGATTTCTTGTCTTTAACAACATTGGCTTCGTTAGATTTATTAACATCAATCTTATCAGACATTTTTTTTTATTGAGAATAAAGAATGTAATCGAAAGTTTTTTTTCTAAATTCTGTATTTATTAAATTCTAGCACTAATATAGATGGCGCATCCGCGCCACATATTTTACTTAAGATTAAATGTAAATAAGATAGCTGCGCAACGTAACTGTTGACTATAATAATAAATTATATAAAAAGTCATGTTATTTAACCAAATTAGATAAAGATGAAGTAAAAATATGAACGTGGTACAATTCAAATTATTAAAGATTTTAAATTTACAGATCTAGAAATAAGGTTCCGCATGGGTTGAACTATCCATGGTGCATCCTAGAGTTGGTTACCGAAACCTTTTTGCCAAATCCGAAAGTTTCGGGTTTCGGATTATTGTTTCCACCTCACCCGAAACCTCACCCGAAACCTCATCCGAAACCCGAAACCTCTTCCGAAAC